TTGTTTGTACTGCAAAAATGTGTCAAAACACGCAAATGTTTTACAAATGACCCATTGTAGGATACGGTTACTTCTAAAATTACAGAGCACACAAAGCTTAAATGCTTAACATAACATAACATCACGCCTTTTATCCCCGAAGGGGTAGGCAGAGGTGAACATTACGGCACTTAATGCCACTGTACAATGTAACACCCACTTTTCACTATTTATGTTATAAGTCCCATGTAACAGGGAGTGAGCCTATTGCCATATACCGGGCACAATTCCAGACTCCGTGCTACCACTGAGAATTTTTTTAAACCTAGTAGTACTTTGGCCGACCCGGGAATCGAACCCGAAACCCCTTGCCGCCCGCACTTGCGACCACTCGGCCAACGAGGCAGTCAGCTTAAATACAATTTGTTTAATTATATTGAGCAACCTTTAGGATTCACTCGAATCAATTCAGAGATTGACTATCAATTTAACTCCAACTTTTACTAAAAGGTAACAGCTTCAGCGCTCTCTGACAAACATGGACTTTTTATACTGCGACACCCAACCCTCCTGCAGAACATGGAGCTTACAGCATATCCATCTAATGTAGAAGAGTCCCATTGTCCAGCAGTAGACTGCCCAAACGGGCCTGATCCTAAACGGTTGTTTCATTTTAACCATCCCTACCTACCAAGTACCTACATCGTAATCGCTTTCATTTCACAGCTTGCCTTGAATACGGGATCAAATCAGTGAATTTACATATATAATTTAGCTAGATTGCTCCTCTAGTAATATTTACTTCGATTTGGCAATACCTGACGAGAATTAATGAAATAATTAGTAAATAGGGATAGACCTAGGCTTCATTATGTGCTAGAGAGCCAGTCGTGGAATATAGAGGTAGCTATAATTGAGATTATGAAACGTGGTAATTTTCAAAATACGGTTCTACTTTAAAATGATAAAGTTGGTACATTTTGTAAGATAGTTTTTGCAGGACTATAGAAGATTAATTATTATGTTTTCGGCTTACTGAAGTAAATGCTAGATGAGGAACTCTAGCATGGCTTGAAACTAGTCAAGTTCCTCGTCAAACAATGAGTAAGCCGAAAACATAGTAATAAATTTAGTAAGTCGCACTAAAGTTTAAATATAAACTATAGAAGATTGTCTAGGAGATATGAGGACTTGAAGCTGGAGCATCTTGATCTTTGTCCCATTTCCTCCAAACGTATAAACACAAATATTTACACTATACTTTAAGTAACATTTTAGTGCGATTACTCAACATTTTAACTTGTCTGAAGTACCAAAGCGTAGTGCAGGTAATTCAAATTATTTTTTTTTGTTTCCTTTTAAAAAAACGTTGCCCTACTCTAGGATTTTCTCCTGTGTCGTGGGTGCGTTTACAAACATACAAGTTCACATACACATGACACCCATACCCGGAACAACAATTTGTGGATCACACAAAGTGTTGTTCCGTGCGGGAATCGAGCCCGCGACACGTTGCACGGCAGCCGGTTGCCCAGCCACCGCACCAAACGTGCAGTTTTTTTCAATTAATAGTACGTAAGTATATAGAATAATAACTCACTGCTTCTCATTGACGTCCTGTTCATAATAGTACGCGTAGCCAGCCACGTCGAGGGGTGTTCGGCCTTCCACGTCGGTGATGTTAGGGTCTGCTCCAGCAGCCAGCAGTAGCCGGGTGCAATGTTTGCGAGCACACGAACTAGCCACGTGGAGCGGCGTCCAACCAGGTTGGAATAGAGGCATCTGAGTAGAAAAAATGGGTAGTGTGAAATAAAAAATGGGTTATAAAACCTAACATGAAAGTGAAAGATTACATTTTTTGTCTTCAAAAAGGGAAGAAAACAATATATTCAATTTAATACGTCCACTTAGGAAATATTTTATTATCCACCAGTTGTGTCGTCCATCACATTGCAATACTTAGCATAGCATCACATACAAATGTGGGATCGCCATGCTTAGGCACGAATTGGCTGTGTCGACCGGAGTGACATCACGACCTCACAGAAAACCGCCGTGAAACAACGCTTGCGTCATGTTACGTCGTGTTAGTGAGGTTAACGGAGGCCCAACTAACCCCTCCCGCTTCCGCGATCTCCCCAATACCTGAATCCTCGACATTCCTAATCCACAAAAGGCCGGTAACGCACTTGTAACGCCTTTGGTGTTTCTGGGTGTCGATGGGCGACGCCGATTGTTTACCATCAGGCGATACGTCAGTTCGTTTACCGGCTCATCCCATAAAAAAAATGCGAAATATCAAACGAAATTAATTCTAAGATAAGTTTAAAAGTCGTAACTTAAAATAATATGGGGCAACAGCTTTTGTTCTAGTTAAGTGCATGAAGACTAATAAATAAATGTTCTCGTGTGTAGCTTTCCCACTTACAACCGGCATATACAAGGCAATTTCTATCCAACCCATGCAAACATTTTTCCCCATTGAAATCAACGCAAAACTAACTCAATCTTCATCTGTAGAGCGGTGTAGTGAAATACCCGCGGCTTCATTACCGGGGGTCGTATCTGAGACATTGGGGCCACGTAGGGCAGCCATTCATCAAACATCTTGAGGCTAACTAGCCTACGGACGGAAGGCTACGAAATTATTTTACTGGAAGGGTCAGAACTTAGTAAGTATCGGGAAGCGATTTGCTTTTTGTTTTTTTTTTTTATATAGTGTTGAAGTTGTTTTATGTGATAATGCAGTAAACGAGCAAACGAATCACCTGATGATAAGCGGCCGGCGTCATCCATGGACATTCGAGACAGGCGTTACAACAAGTACGTTACCGGCCTTTTGGGGATTAAGAAGTTGAGGATTGTTGAGATTTCAGGGAGATTGGGGAGGGGGATAATTGGGCCTCTGGTAATCTCAGTCACGAGGAAATATAACACCGGGGTTGTTCCACGTCGATTTTCTGTAAGGCCGTGGTATCGCTTCGGTCGAGTTGCCGCCCATTTGTGCCGAAGCATGCCTCGGAACCCTTAATAAATAGGGCGGCAAATAAGCTGAATTATGGGTTAATGATAAACTATCTCAAATGACATGACCTGCAACACCAGAATTGAGAGAAGTCACAAGTGCTCTGCTGGACTTGGGAACGTGACCGTCTTTGTAACTTAGAAAATAAAATTCAAATGGTCGGACACAAAGTGCGCGGCGGCAGCTTTACCTCCTTATTTGGAACTTATGACATAACCAAATAATAATTATATTTTTGAAGAAGTGGCTTGTTTCCTTTTTAGGAACACCGACTTCGATATGCAAGTAACTAAGTTCTAAACTCAGATATGCAAGTACAACACACGAGTAAAAAAGTACTATGATTATAGTCATTTCTACATAGGTATACAAAAACAAGTCTGATATTTTGCATAAAATTATTGAGAACATAATTAGGTTCTCTGACCAAAATGGTTGAATTTATCCAGAATATTATTCCTTGATGAAATTTCGGTAGAACGTGTGTTCGCAAAATGAGGTACAGGCGAAATTATACACAGATCGTTGCGTACCATGCATATTTATCGACACGACAATCATTGTATCGTTAGGCTGCGCAGGTTGCTGAAATATTTCGCTTCGTAGTCTAGGGATTTTAAGTAAAAGAATTTGTTATTAGATGATTGACTACATATTTGACTCCTCGTCATAGTCACCAGCTATTTTGTACTTGTATTGAATTTCAAAAATTTGTTTTCCTGAAGCACATCATTTAAAAAAAAACCTTGCCCCACTTTAGGATTTTCTCATCTATCATGGGTGCATTTACAAACATACCTTCCCCTTCCCCAATCTCCCCAATCCCTGAAACCCCAACAATCCTCAAACTCCTAATCCCCAAAAGGCTTATAGATGTATTTAATTGTAGTGTGTAACTAGGTTCCCTATTTACTTTATAAAAATTGACTAGATGTATTATAATAAAAAAAAGTATGACAAGGGCACGGACCTAGAGTCCGTGGAGAATTAATCTATAATTTTATAAAAAAAAATCCCCAAAAGACCGGTAACGCACTTGTAACGCCTATGGTGTTCCCGGTGTCCATGGGCGACGCCGATTGCTTACCATCAGGTGATCCGTCTGCTCGTTTACTAGCTTATGCCAAAAAAAAACCAATTTCACATAAACATGACACGCAGACAAAGGTGCGCAAACAATTTGTGGATCAAACAAAGAGTTGCTACGTGCGGAAATCGAACGACAGCACTAACCGTGTTGTCAATCATTATTATTGAGTTATTAACCCCGTCAGTCTCTTAAGTCTGTTAATCTATAAGTTCGCATCTCCCTATCGTGTATTTCGAAACTGATGCTCCAAATTAATATTGATCCTTGATTACTTCCCACTCTTTTCATCATACAAAATCTCAAAAGTACGGTTTTTCTCGAGGAATATTAGAATAACAAAACTAATACTTACACTTCCTTTAATATCCCGACAATTATGGTCAATATTGTCTTTCCATGGTTTCGGTAGTGTCACATCCACCTCTCCAAGGTCACAGCGAACGTTCGTCATCTCCTTGATGAGAGGACACAGCTTCCTGACATCTTCCTCTGTTTCTGAAGACATGCTTTCTGTGCCAACCCTTTCTTGGATATCTGAGGGGATAAAAAAAGAATTATTTAATGAGTAAAAACTAATGTTAAGGGAATTTTGAGGTATATTTGACTATGGTGGATTAAAATTAATCTAATTTTTGGATAATTTGATATTACTCTGACGTGAATTCTGTTTAAATATGTGTAAGTTAAGGCTAAGAGGAATTCGATCAGGTCCTCTATATGTCGTAAGGTTTTCTACAAATTCTTATCCCCAATCAACCCCCAACATCAATAAGATAGTGGCCAACATTTGCCAACTGAAAACAAACCAAAATTGTAAAGGAGATATATCAAAAGAATAGTTCTGGCCATCAAATTATTCACAATTTGTTTTCTTCTTTAGTATCTGCTGTCAAACGTCAATCGTTTTTGTAAAATATATTTGGAAAGAACTTACAGGTGACACGAGAAGAAAACTCGATTTTATTACAATCATGGAGATCGCTCATAATTTCATGGTATGTATTATTTATTTTGGCGAGCATCCATCGTGGGATAGGTTATTTAAATCACTATTAATATTATTATAGGTATCCTTTAAATTTTCGGTGATTCAAGTCATCGCAGGACCGATTATAGATCAATCTCCGCGTTTGAGGTGGCTGGAGAATCACTCCAAGCCACTTGAAGCGCGGAGATTTTGACAAGCCTCGTCCTATGATGGTGGATATGATGATTATTGTCAAAGACGGGAGAGTAAGTCCAAACTATCCTTATTGAGTTTATACATTCTAGGGTCCTGGTGCTACCAACACTATGACGCGGATCAATGAAAATGGAAATGTTGTGGGAACTATTATAGTTAACTGTGAAGGTATGTAATCTACTTATATTTATTGGGCAGACTGAATTGAGTCCATAAAAAAATAAAATTTTAAACCTCGACACATAACACCTCCCCTACTCTTGAATTCAATTCCGATCGATCGACATTGGTATTGTGAAATTCGTACTCTTAAGTTGCAACACCAGCGCCCATTGCATCCGTATTGCGTGGATATTTAATGAACTAAATGGTATTGAGTTTGGCTTTGTTTCGTACTCTGAATGCTATTTTAACATCTACCATAGTGGTTGTATAGTTTTGACATTGGATACTTATTGAGATTTTATTGAATTGTTATTGCATTGACTTTCAGATTGGTTTCAAGAGTAATTCCAGGTCTTAGGGCCAATTTTTCAATCATCAGTGAATTCTAAACTGTACAATAAAATTGACATTTGATAATTTTTAATATGGAAGAAGAATTATGAAATATTCAAATTTATTCTTCAGTTAAAATTTATTTGGCGTTGGAAAAATCGGCACTTACGAACTCAAGAAAGTAAATAGTAATAAACAAATATTAGTAACTTTCCCTCAGGTTTTCCGGAGACCACAACCCTGGACAGCTTGACAGCTGCTACGTACTCCAACCACTTAAGAACATTGTCGCTCCATGCATCAAATGCTCTCAAGGAGATTGTAAGTCCTCTACACTGTGTTCGAACATGAGCCTGCCCTACACTCTACAGCAATCATTTTAACTTTATAAAGTATTAGTATTTTATATACTTTGTGTACCATCAACTACAGAGAGGACAATTATCACGATACAGGCACACATATACACGATTATAAGGATATAATTATAATTATAATCTCCATCCAATCCCTTCAAATAAAGCAAGTCTGAAGTCGTTCAGTAATGCTACAAGCTGTAGGAACGACACCAATGGATACCCGCAACACCAGAAGACTTGACAAGTGCGTTGCCGGCCTTATAGAAGTTAGGAAATTAACGATTGGGGATATTACGATATTTTCATAATTCCCTTGTTTCAGGATGTAACAGACGAGCTGGTGGTTCTAAGACTAGTCTCCAAAAAGACCGAAGCAGTAGTGGCGCCTGATAGCGAATTCCACATCATTGTCGTTATGAGGAAGCATTAAAGTTTCTGTGGTCTATTCAGCCTAGTATTAGACATTTAAAACAACCTTTATTACTATCTATTCAACCGAATATTGTGGCTTTGAGTAGGAAAAAAAGTCGTTGGAAAACTAATTATCTACTGCAGCCGCCATTTGTCATTTCACCAACGTAATAAGAATGAAAATCGGTTGATCAGACAGCAAAAAGGGTGTACTGAAATGTCTAAAGCTATTTTGACGGAGGATAGAAACTTCCAGAAAAAGATGGAGGAAGAAGAATAGATTTTAATTATTCATTTTTCTTTTCTAATTGTTCTTGTTCTTCTCAAAAGAGGAGTTTTCTGTAACTTTTATTTCAGTTACACATTTTGTTGTTATTGTTTAAATGTTTATTAAAGCGGTTAGTTTATTAAATGAGGTGTTAAATTGATTATTTAAGTCCAAATTACAAGTCGGAATATTTCCAAGTTATAAGGTTTTCACTAAACATCAGGTTTAACAAATATTTATATAGTCACTAATGAAAATTATAATAATGAAAATAAACCAAAAGAAGTTTGTGCAAGAATTTTAATCGAACAATCAAGGGATTTGAGGTAGAGATAATAACAGTTAATTACCTTCTGGGAAGTCCAACAGTATAGCAACCTGTCTCGCGTTCCCAGCCCATGCTGCTAAGTGGAGTGGGGTTCTCCCAAGCTTGTCTATCCTCAGTTTTTCAGCTCCGAACTTGATGAGGAGGCTCAGGGCGTCTCCTCCGATGAGGGCCGCCGTGTGACAGGCTGATACGAAGCCAAGACGACAGGTGGCGTTTGGACTTGCTCCAACATTTAGCAACCTAGAGAATTTAAACTTTGGTAAAAAAAATTAGAATTATACTGTTAAGTAATTGTTATGTAAAACTCATAACAGTGACAGCGTCGTTGTTCAAAAACGCGATTGCTGAGCCTATTTTGGACCGAATTTCTGAGTTAGGTGAAGATTTATTGAAACGTTCGGTTATCTTCTTCGGTCGTTGCTGGTTAAAAGTGTATAATCAAAGTACATAAAAACTTATAATGTTATGTATTATGTTAATTAAAAAAAACGTTAATTCAAGTAGCATTTCTACAAATCTTCCATTTGAAGATAACAATGTCGCTCCGCTCATCGCTCTCAGGCAACCTTAGCACCGTAGTCTTATATCGCTGGTTCATTCTTAGTAATCAAAATGTCAGGGTTACTCCCCATAAAAGAATTGCTGTATACGAATAAACATGTTGTAAACACAACCATTTACATCATCCCTGTTATTTATATTTAAAGAAGGAAGCGTTAAGCATACTAAAGGTATACATGGCATAAGTACTATTTTCACATTTATTTGCCAAATTTTTTTAGAACCCATTACTTAACTGGACTAAGTCGACACCCGAATGAAAGGATACTCTAAGTTGTACTTAAATATGTTGCCATCCCTGTAATTTTATGAAGAATTCGTTTAAAATTGAGTAACGTTTCAGTATTCTAGCATTAGACATATTACTATGTTTAAATTAATTTACTTAAGGCACTTGAAAGGAAACAATAGTTTGGAACCTGTAAGTTTAGCTATACCTACTGTAAATGAGTTACTCAAACAACAACAATTCATTCAATACGTGACGCAACGTGAATAAACGACGTGAAGCAACGCTTACGTTATGTTTCGTCGTGTGAGTAAGGTTACCGGAGGCCCAATTACCCTCCCCTTCCCCAATCTCCCCAATCCCTGAATCCCCAACGATCCTCAAACTCCTAATCCCCAAAAAGGCCGGTAACGCACTTGTAACGCCTCTGGAGTTCCAGGTGTCCATGGGCGACGCCAATTGCTTACCACCAGGTGATTCGTCAGCTCGTTTACCGGCTTATGCCATAAAAAAAAATAACATTTAATGATTTTTAGAATTTGCAGTTCAAAATAAAAAAAAAATATTCAATAAATAAGTTTAAAATAACTTATAATTTATAAAAAAAATATGTTTAATATGATCTAAGCCTAATTTATTAACTTATGGTTTAAGATATTATTTTCTTAATTTTAAAGTGACTAAAATGCGTAGTTACTACTTCCCTTACCCTACATTGAATATTAGAAGGCTGTGATGTCACGATATTAGTATATCATATAATCAAGAGTTACCTGAATACAAACTAAACGCAAACAGAATAATTTTAGCATTCCCCAATGTTTGTTCAGGCGCTAGTAATGAGCAGGATATTAATTATTAATTTACATAATTATTATGTACGCGCTCAGTACCTAAATAATTATATATTAACTACATAGCTATCTGGATTAATTAATATTAAACTAACATGTAGGGATAATATGTATTTAGGGTTGTAAGTTGAAAAACCAATACCTAATGTTAATATTGGTTTTAGGCGAGTGAACTTCGGAACTGTCGGAAGTTAGAAGTTATTGTTCAATCTGTGAAAAAATAAAACCATGACTGCAGAGCAAGGGCTGTTACAAATCCGATTTTAAAAAGAAATTATCATCATAACATCACGCCTTTTATTCCCGAAAGGGTAGGCAAAGGTGCACATTATGCCGCTGTACAATGGAACACCTATTTTTCACTATTTATGTTATGAGTACCATGTAATAGGGGGTGAGCCTATTGCCATATAGGTACCGGACACATTTCCAGAATCCGTGCGACGACTGAGATTTTTTTAAAAACCCAGTAATACTTTGCCCGGCCCGGGAATCGAACCCGAAACCCCTTGCCCAGCAGTCACATTTGCGACCACTCGGCCAACGAAGCAGTCGGTTTTAGAAGGTTGTAGCGGGCTTATCCCATTAAAAAAAACCCACGACACAGGAAGAAATCCCAGTATGGGGCGAAATTAAAAATAGACTGATAATTTATTCTTACCTCTCAACTTCCTCCAGATCATGTGTCTCAATAGCCTCCAATAACTCTGTATTCAGCCTCTGCAGTCTCCTATCTCCTCTCCTCCAGGGTTTGGGCACGATGGCACCAGACTCCATCATCGGAGTACTGTTTACAGTGGACCCTACAGACGAAGGAGTCAGGTCTGGCATTATCAACTTGGGTAGAGGTGGGCGACCATCACTGAAACAAAATAGTGATTGTTTATTGTAGAGAAATTAGTAGCGCGTTGCGATTATGTGAACCGAAGTGAAGTTCATGCAGTTAGTAAACCTATAAAAAATGTGGGTATATGCTACTCTAATAATCTCTCTTTCGGGTTCGATCACCAGGTAGGAATATGTGCATTATTCGATTTTCGAAGTTATATAAATTTAAAAAATGTCCGATGTAAGACTAAAGGCTAAACCCGTCCTTTTATAATTGCGAGGACATTCTCTTTTAGGTTTATAAAGGTACTAGCGGACCCAACAGACGTTGTCCTGCATATCCACTTGAATGTATAAACAAAAATTCATTCAAATTAGTCCAGCTGTTTAGGATAAATAACTTAAACATCGACTGCAGCACCATCTGCCGGGCTGATTTGTGAATCTAAACCGTTCCCAGATCCCCTTGAACACACACAAAAAATGTCATCAAAATCGGTCCAGGCGTTTGACAGAAGTTCAGTGACATACACACTCACAGAAGAATTATATATATAAAGATGTTAAGTATGTTATAGTACGAAATGCTTCCTTCACACACCATCCTTCCGACATGTACATATATCTGGCTATTCCTTTAGCTTAAACAGGGTTTCTGTTAAGTAACTTACCCATCGTTAAAAAACTGGCGACATCAACAACACTGTATCGATAAAAATATTGTATTAAATAGAAATAAATTGTATCTCAATTAGTCACAGGCTATGCTACCGCGGAATGTTTGCGAATGACTGATCATTCTATCATTATGCTCTAACGGTAGATTTACTTTATCATTAAACATCTATTACTCCGTGATAAAGGCAATTAGAAAACCTTTTACCGATAATGACTATTGACTGATGGCTACTTTATGTTAACAGTATCGTCAAGTGCTTGAGCGCACACGACAACAACAGCTGAACAGAGAGTTTAAGGTTACATAACATACATATTATGGGGGTAGGCAGAGGTACACATTACGGCACTTAATGCTACTGTATAATATAACACCCACTTTTCACTAATTATGTTATGAGTCCCATGTAATAGGGGGTGAGCCTATAGCCATGTACCGGGCACAATTCCAGACTCCGTACTACTACTGAGGTTTTTTTAAAAACCCAGTCATACTTAGTCTGACCCGAGAATCGAACCCGAGACCACTTGCCCGGCAGTCGCACTTGCGACAACTCGGCCAACTAGGCAGTTTAAAGTTACGTACTAATATTATACTTAACTTGGAAAAATATCCTGATTTCCAAATAGGAAGAAGGAATTTGGAATACAGATACTTGACAATATTCACACCCTTTTTAAATTACAATATAACAAATCAAAAATAAAGTGTACAATCAATCAAAATATTTGTTCACAGCTAAGAAAACAAAGTTTGATTCAATATAAAGAAGTATGTTGGCCAAAGCAGTGCTTACAAAAGATAAAAAGTATACAATTCATCCTTGTCTTTATCCTTGTAATACCGCGCTTATGCGCAGAAATGTATTTTGTATGGGACCCATATTAACAAATTTCCAAAATCTAGGAGAGAACTGTAAAATAGATATAACAAAATAACCAATTATTATAGTTACCGCTAATGCCATCTAGTGTCGCTTATGTGTAGCATAGCGTTTTATTAAGGACTTGGTATATCAAACGAAAGCTTAGACTTTTTTTATTACAGAAGGTCTACTATAGTGTCATCGAATTCTTAAATGACACAGTTATTTGATTGAAGTAAGACATGGCTATTATTTTATAAATTATGATTATTTTATTTGTTGTGACATATTGTACGAATTTAATTATTACATAACTGTATCTATAATTTTAATTTTGACATACTTAACTATATAAAATTTTATTTTACATTTATAAACATTTAACGATGATAATATAATTATATTATCTGTATAAAAATATATATATCAGCCCAATCATCTGTTGGTCTATAGGCTATACCAAAATAGATATCATTGTTAAATTAAGTTATGTAAATGTAGTTGTTACTCACAGCCCCAGATGCCTAGGCCTGGCCATTCTGATGCGTAAGTCACCTGACTCGGCGGGGTTAAGCAGCGGATGGGCGGCCTCATCATGGTCTGGCCCTCGCTCTATATCTGTAAACAAATATTGAATTTAAAACCTCTTCATTAATTAATTAAAACAATACCGTTAAGTAAAGTCTACTTATCAGTATGTTTGTGAACCAAATTAAAATGTATGTGTTATATCTACAGAGGAAAACCAAATTCCATGTATCTGGGTACAGTATTTATTTCAA